ATACTATACAATCACTGTTTTCAATATTAAAAAAAAAAGAATGTCTGTTGAAAACATACAAAGTGTTGGCGATTGTGAATTCGGTGAAATCAGCGCATGATTTCCATCGTGCGGTACACCAAAACCGTGACAAAAGTGATGGTTATGGTGTTAGCCACATAACCTATGTTTGTTCGTGAATGTCATCATGCAAATTCAATACTTCGTGTAGACTTTGATACATTAATTTAGTTTGGATGTATAGTCATGCGTTGGAATATAGCTTAGAATGATTTTTTCTTTTAAATTACATGATTATTGTCCTTGTTTGCTTTGGCTAGTTTTGCATTTAATTATTTTGTAAGTTCTCAAGATGCTTAAAGTCTATTGTTTTAAACTATGTAGAAAGATCATGAATATGCAAAATATGAAGGTCAAGTAACTATGCTAGATTACTCGTATCTTCCTATTTGGTATTAGAGTCATGTCAGTCTATGCTTTAAACTCTTAGCTTCCCTACGCCAATGGGTTGTCTTCAATTATACGCTAGTATAAAAAGTATGCTTTGTGGCTGCCATTTATTATGATAAGCTAAGAAAAAAGAATATAGAAGAAGAATATTCATGTGGTCATAACGCTCAAAGAATCTTGAGGCTCCAAATTAAATAACGAAATTGCTTTGGTTATGTAGTAAAATACCTGCTTAATTTACTCTCTATGTTCCCAGCATCAAATGATAAAGAAGCAATACATGGTTTATTATTTCAAAACGATATACAAGAACTAAAGTATTCTATCTTGATCTCTAGCCTTAATACACGTCATGGAAAATACATATATTCTCTCCAACCGACTTTCCTTCAGAAAATCAACAACTTCCAATAAAATAGATTTCTCTATGAAGTAAAATATGTAAGTGTAAACGCAAGTGAGGTAATATGTGGTACAGAAAATAAATGACACAAGATAATTTTTCACGAGGTTCGTTTCCTATTCCCCGGGACCAAGTCCAGAAATCAAATCCACTAGAACCAGAAAACAAATACAACTTATTTGCAAACGCGTAAATCAAATACAACTTCTTAATTTACCGCTCTGTTCAATAACATGGATTCTTCAAGATAACATAATCCTGAGCTAAACTCTTTCTGAGCCTAGACTTGAGTTTTGTGGAATCTCCACACACCAACACGCACGGTTGGCAACGACACGCAGCCAACATGACACAGCCACGAGAGACTTTCTCACTAACTCACTTGATCAGTTCAAGCAACACGAACTGCTACAACAGCGGACAGCAACAACAGCTTCAGAACCAACAGCTTCAGCAACACACAACAAAGATGACGCCTTCTCTTAATCAATCTCTCTGTATTTTTCTTCTAAGAGGCGTAGAGAGCCTCCAGCCACTGTGCCTCTATATATATGCATATAGAGAACCTTTCCAAAACCCAAAACACTTTCCTTCCTTGTAGTTATCCTTTCCTTATTTTTCTCTTCAAATATATTTTTGGAATATCTTTCTCCTTCCCTTCAACTAAATATCTCTTTCCTTTTTCTAACCCAAACCACACTTGTGCATCTCCAAATTCGAACTCCCCTTCACAAATCGCACAACTCAACTTCTATATCACTTTTTGTAGTATCCTCTGTATTACAATCGACTGGTACAAGAAAAACTCCAAAACAACTCCTCTTAGTAAGCGTCCCCTAAACCGGTTGCTCGACATTCACTAAGTGAATTGAAAATGGGAAGGTCTAGAAGCACTCCAGAGAAAGAAAGCAAGAAACACGAACATGAAGGAAAACATGGAAGAAGAGGAGAATCCCTAAGGACTCCGAGACATA